TGTGTGTGTGTGTGTGTGTGTGTGTGTGTGTGTTCTCCAATCACACATGCCTTTGTGATTCTATGCAAACCTTGCAAGCCTCCCTTCTCCTTTGCCTTTACGATCAATTTTCTTTATCAAAGCTGACCTTTTGACAGAATTTTTTTTTCTTACAACTTTGGAATATTCATAAACAGTTCGCATCATCTGTCAACTCAAGCAGTGAACTTGCATTCAGTTGCAAGATAACACATAATTCCCGGAGAACAACCTTATGCCTAAGGATATCTAATCATGCAGTAGGACTGTATTACTATTTTCCTTTACACCTTTCCTATTACCTACTCCTCTTGGTATCTTATGACTGTTACTGTGTTGGTTGTATCTTATGATTTATGATTTATCACTTTGTTGCTTGGAAGCCTACTGAGAGCTCATGCACAGGAGACAAATTCCTTGTGTGTCCAATCACACTTGGCCAATAAAAAATATTCTACAGTATTTCTACTCCACTCCATTCCATTCTATATTCATATTCTGATCTGTTTTGTTCTATTCTGTTCTATTCTCTATTCTATTCCCATTTCCCTATTCTACCCTACTCCTACTCTACTCTACTCTACTCTACTCTACTCTACTCTACTCTACTCTACTCTACTCTACTCTACTCTACTCTACTCTACTCTACTCTATTCTGTATTCCTATTCCATTCCATTTCTTGTTCAGTGATATGAAGCCAATAAATCCTGACCATTTGTGATTTTCCTTCCTTCTTTTCATTGTTTCCAGTGGTTTCCAGTGTTGGAGAATTTCTCGGACGGCGTAAATGTATGGGGTTTTGTGTCACATACCAATGATCCAACCGCAGATGAAATTTCCTTTCCAATCACTCTTCATATTGGAGATTATAACATGGATGGTTTTCCGGACGCCCTCGCTATACTGAGAAACACATCAGGAAGGTATTGCCAGTAAATGGGACCTGGAGTGCTTAATGTTTGTTCCTTGCCATAGTTGTGCACGCATCTCTCTTCACCTTAAAATATTATCATCTTTTATAGCAACCTCAACGTTCCCTGTGTTTGTGGGACTGCACTTCCATAATTGCCCGTCCTGCAATCGGCTCTAACGCCAGTTTGAGAATGCTGCCTTGTAGAATTAAGTTCTCTCCTTCTAAACATAGGGCTTGAACAGTTTTAGAATGGGTCTCTTTTTATGCTCTAGGTGGCCTATTTTTCTGCTGCTAAGTAGCATTTTAGAATTGGGGCTTAGAGAAGTGCATTACGTGTTCCCTGTTTTCTGCTCGTGTGTTGACATTGTGTAGAAATGCAGATAAATTTCCCTCTTATTTTTCCAACATGCACCGGTTGCATTTAGAGAGGTAATTCCTGTGATGGTTTGAAGGACTGCAGACATGCCATGCCCTCATCTGTTTTCCTCCATGCCTCTTTTTTTGAATATATGCCAGTTCCTCCCTTCACTGGTGAAACTGGAGATTTTCAAATGTTAAATATTAAAGATGCAGCTCTGGGACAAAAGTCAATAAGGCTAACAGGATTCCTGTTCTGGGGGAGTGTTGCCAGTTCTTTTCTTGCCTGGGGCAGTTCCTCTCTCCTTGAGCAAAAATTGACCCATTTCATTGTAATAGGATGCACTATAGATGCATTTCTGGTAGTTGACATAGTATTGCTGTCACTCATTAGCTTTCTTTTATCAAAATGCCAGCAACGCCATGAACAAGTTAGCTTTTCTTTTGGACAAACATCTGGAGATGTTCAGCCATAAGTAGCAACACTTTAGAGCAGGGGTCCCCAACTCCCAGGCTGCGGCCCACTACCGGGATGTGGCCTGCTCAGAATCGGGCCACACAAGCGGCTGACTGGCGCACACATGCGCGCACACAACTCGACTTGCACAAGTGGTGGGCCAGGGCACATGTGTCCAGCTTAGTTTGCATGGGCTGGCAGACTAGTTAATTTAGAATTTACAGGACAGATACCAAAGCAGGATGACACTAAAGGAGGAGGCATCGAGACTGAAATAAACTGGGTTATGTTTATGAACATCGTCCCCGTTAATCACTTATAGTTTCTTTTCAGTCAGTCTCAGTGAGTCTGGAGTTGTGTTCCCTGAGATTATGCTCACAAAGAGATTGCTGTCATTGGGCAATTTTATAGCCCTTCAACTTCTATTTCCCCCCAAATGTTGCTACTTAAGGCAAAAAGTTTGCCATTTCACAACTTGAACAAGTAAATAGGAAGAACTGGGCAGTCTGTCTTCCAGATGTTAATTTAAAAATGCAGGTACCATTATTCGTTCTATAAAGTAGCCTATTGCATAGCAGTAGAATTGTTCAATGCTGTAATTCATCCATAGGCATCTGGTGTAAGGTCGAATGCTGTCACGTGGATCATACCTTTAATTCTATCAATTACAGTGAATAATGTAATCTGCATTAAAGCAATTGATGCAAATGACTCGTTCGTGTCATTTGTGCAAAGATGTGACGACACACGTGACATTACTTGCTCACCCATGAGACAGTTACACAATGGGTCAGTAACACGAATCAATATTTCAAAATTACTCCCACACTTAGCATCTGGACAGAGTAATACAGTAGTATGTCACTAATTTCCAAATTGCTGTGTATTTCTTTTCCTTTTGTAACACTATTCTGTTTCGCTACATCAGTTTTGAGTTAGTTGTATGGGAAGGGGGACAGAAGAATTTAAAAGCAGCTTACTTATTGGCACCCAGAATTTGGAAAACTGTGTAATATTCTTGCTGTGATTTTATTCCGTGGAGATTAGTTAAAATATTTTATAAACTTAGTGCATCTGCAGAAATATGACTCCAAAACATGATTTGTTACACGGTAGGTTTTGATCATTTATACATTCGCATGTCGTTTGTACTGTGGGTTTTTTTTAATGGTTATCTTTAACATTTTTAAAGCAGTGTTTAGATTAATGATTATAATTAAAGTCATTTTTATTAGCTTGCTTTTGATGGCTTGCTGAAGTTAAAAAAAAAAGTCTGTCTATTTATCCCTTTAGCGCGTTCTTCTATCTTCTCCAAATTTATCCTCCATCCTTGCTGTCTGCTGATCCCTGTGTTACTTGCATATTCGTCCTACAAAACTCCACTTAATTGGACGCTCTGCATATAAAAAATGTTAATACTAATAAGAATATGCCATCAGCATTTTACCTTTGCATGTGTATAGTAATTCCGTAACATCGCATTTAAAAAGCTCTTTGAATTCAGCTTTCATTTCTAAAATGCTTTAGGTGACCATTAGTTCCAAATATTTAAAGGCAGACCCAAATACTTACAGGAGTGACAAGAGTGTCTTTTTCCATAAAAAAACAGAAATTTGAAGTATTTATCTTTAGACCTCCTGAACAAATCACAAAATTCCAGTCTTTTTCAATAAAAAGTATTGAAGCATTTAGCTTTAGCCCAGTGAGCTAAATTCCAGTGAGCTAGACTCTATATTGCTTTTTATGGCTGCTCAAAGCAATTCTTGTATGGTCCAGAGAACAACATTACAGGTAGTCCTTGACATGATAACAGCGTTCCAGTATCTCAGGGGCTACCACAAAGAAGAGGGAGTCAAGCTATTCTCCAAAGCACCTGAAGGCAGGACAAGAAGCAACGAATGGAAACTAATCAAGGAGAGAAGCAACCTAGAACTAAGGAGAAGTTGCCTGACAGTTAGAACAATTAAAAAGCAGAACAACCTGCCTCCAGAAGTTGTGGTTGCTCCAACACTGGAAGCTTTTAAGAAGAGACTGGACAGCCGTTTGTCTGAAATGGTATAAGGTTTCCTGCCTGAGCAGGGGGTTGGATTAGATAACCTCCAGTGTCCCTTCCAACATCAACATCATCATCATCATTATTATTATCGCGTAGAAAGTCCACATACGGTTTCCAGTCTCTTATAAAGCCGTCTAGTCCATTATCTCTAATCAAATCAGTTAATTCCACCATCTCTGCCAATACAGTCAATTTCAAAATCCATTCTTCAACAGTCGGCATCTTTTTTCCTTTCCAGTGCTTGGCGAGTCCAATCCTTGCAGCCGTTGCCATGTGAAGGAATAGAACCCCAAATTGTTTTTCAATTGGCCTGTCCATCAGTAACTACTTTAAATCGAGATGGCGATTTTCTGGTGGATGAATATGTAAGAGACTGAAAAGAAGGCCTGCTGCGAGAAGCTCAAATATTTATTTTTCTAGTTCTTTCCCGTGTTGGGGTTCCAGAAGAACTCACCTGTTGTTGATGATGTCTGTCTGAAAGAAAGAAAGCCCATTTCTTATAAAGTGTGGCTTAATGTTGCATGACTAAAAAAAAAAAAAGTCAAATTTTACAATCTGGAAATAACTAGTACAATGAAGGAGTCGATTTTATTCTGCTCTCTGTGCATGACAGCCGCCTACAGAGCATTCAGAATAAGAATGACATTTTCTTATATAATTCTAATTGGGAATACACTAACTGACTACACTCACTGTGCTCATTCTCCAACTGACATCGCTCCGCGCTGATTACAAATCACTTTAGTGACTTTCAGTGTTCTTTAATAAGCAGAGAGAAAGAGAATGTTTTTCCAATAAAATTTTATGAAATCAAACAGAAGAACGATTGAATGAAGCTGCTGGAAGCCTCAAGGCCACCTTACGTCTCTTGGTGATTAGATGGCCTTAGACAAAATAGTCCATTGATTTATAAAGAAAAAAAGCTCTAATTACAACTGGCTTATCAAATCAGCAAAGTTAATACTGCCATCTTTACTGTTTTAGTATTGCCAGACTAGCGGATATTCTTGAATATTATCAACACTTAATGAATTTTGAGGAAAGGATTATGCAAGTTAAGAAATGTGTCAGTGTTGCATGTCAGAAAGAGTGTGTAAATGTCTTGTAGCGGTATCAGTTCTGGGAAGAGGTGAGGTCCACCTGTTCATGGAAAAACTTCTTCTTCTTGTGCCATATCCGTTATCGGACGTTGGCGATCATGTTCACGATCCTGTTTTTATCAGCAGCCATACAAAAAAGTGCTGCTGAGTTTTGTCCAAACCAGTCCCTTAGATTTTGAAGCCACGATGTTCTTCTTCTGCCTGGACCTCATTTGCCTTCGATCTTTCCCTGGAGGATGAAATGGAGCATGCCGTATTTTTCTGGGTGTCGCATCACATGTCCGAAATATTCTAATTTTCGTTTTTTAAATTGTTTTGATGATTTCCCTTGGCTTTCCCAGACGGCTTATCGCCTCCTCATTTCTGATCTTGTCAACCCAGCTTATACGTAACGGCCGCCTGTAAATCCACATTTCAAATGCTTCTAGTCTCTTCAGGTGGCCTTCTGTCAGAGACCAACTCTCTACTCCATAGAGCAGGGTAGAAAAAATATAGCATCTGACAAGCCTGATTTTCAGTCTTAGGCTTATGTCGTGATTGCAGAAGACCTTTTTCATTCTGAAGAATGCTGTTCGGGCTTTCTCTATCCTAGTCTTTACTTCAGTGGTCATGTCCCAGCTTTCATGTAAATTAGAACCGAGGTGCGTGATCCTTTCAACTTTTTCTAGTGGTATTCCTTCTGAATTTATTGGTGGTAAATTAACGGGTTGTTTGCTGACGACCATGATCTTGGTTTTTGAGGTGTCACATTCTGTTTATATATCTGTGTATCCCAAAGTTACCAGTTATGCTTCTATTCCCCTTACTCTCGTCGCTGAGTCCTGCTCTTCACAACAGATTACTTTGCAGAGGTGTCGTCTACTGCGATCCTTATATTTGCTGCTTTGGTCTGTAAGCATGTAAGGCAACCCCTCGTACACCCAATCAAGTCTGCCTGCTCTAGAGACATCTCTAGAAAACACTTTTATTTGGTGATAGGAAGCAAGGAGAGGCATATAGAAGGAGAAAGAAACCAATTTCTGAATAGATGAAAACAAATCCCATTTTTGAATCTAAAGTTGTGGTTCTTGGCAACGGACAGTTAGCGCCATCCAGTGCTGCTCATTGCCCCTTGGTTAGGGCTTGTATCTTCTGTCTCTCTTCTGAAGGGGGACTGAGTTTATTTTGCTGGATTGACACTAAGCCTCTTTACACTAAGGATATGATAGAAAGTGGCTAAAGGCTGGTGTTGTTGCATGAATCCAGCATCGGCCATGACACATCCCTGGTGTTCCTTAGAGATTAATGTTCTCCAGAATGCGTTTCTCAAAATACAGGTCAGCCCGTGTCACCCATCTGTGGATTCCCAATTCTGAAGCACAAACGAAATGAATGTGGTCCTCCAGAGTGTAAAAATGTGTACGTTCATGCATTTTCTCCCTCAGTGTAACTCATTGCTTGTGATAAGTATGACATTAGGCATTGATGAGCCTCTTTTGTTTCTCAAACCTTTTCTTCTGAATTTTTGAATATGCATGACACTCATCTCTTTGCTTTCTATAACTCTGCAGCGTGACCTTCAGATACACGTGGTTACATATTCTGCCCTTGCATTTATAATATCAGCACTTCTTTGTTTAGAAAGCAAGTGCTGAAAGAGTTTGCTGATTACTGTAATCCAGAAAAACATACGTCCTTCACCCCAAATAAACTAAACATTCCGGTGCGTATAAGGGAGGAACCCCCCCCCAAAAGGGTTTTTTTCTTAATTCTATATGATTTCCAGATTCAGTTAAGGAACATTTATTAACGGGCCTTATACTTGCAGTGGAAGTTAAAAGCTTTCGAGAAAGCAAGGGATTTTTCAAGAAGGCAAATTGTTCTGACTTTTAAGTAGTAATTGTACACAGCTGCCTAATTGGAGATAATTTCAGCAAGATGTCAACCCTTGTTCCAACGTAGGAAGAGAAAAGAAAAGTAACAGGAATGGTACAGAATAAAAACACATTTCTTGGTGGGGTTAAGAAAACTGCTTCAAGAAACAGAGGTCCACGTTAAGCTCTGGGATTCAGTCCCAGGAAATGTGGTTGTGCCACAGCTTATTCCTTAAAATTGTTTGTTGTCCGCAGCCCAGATTCACCTTTGGTGAGATAGGCAGCTATATAAATTGGATGGATGGGTGGGTGGGTGGGTGGGATGGGATGGGATGGACGGACGGACGGACGGACGGACGGA